AGACTGCATCTAGTGTTCCTTTCCCTCTTCGAAAGCCATATTGAAAGGTGGGTAGCAATAATTTGCTCTCTAAGAAATGTTCTAATCTTAACTTGATTAAGCGTTCAAATGTTTTTGTTATGCACGATATTAATGCTATAGGACGGTATGATGAAGGTAGGTCAGGATTTTTCTGCGGTTTTAGTATGGGACAAATTATACGAACTTCGATTTTAGTTCAAGGACGACTTACCCAAGTCCGACTCAGCTGAGTTCAGTTTATAAACTCGGTTAATAAAAAAAATACATTATATCATGCATTCAAAGTAAATCCTGGAAATTAGGACAAAAAATTAAATTATCTTTACTATAAGAGATTTTTAAACAAACTAATTAGGAACGCTAAATATAACAACTATAAAAAACAGATAAATATAAATAAAAATATTTTAAAAAACCTCTGGAATGTTGCTAAAATATTTGCGCTAATGAAAGTAAACCCAAGGAGATATTTACTCATAATAATATAAAATTAAATATTCCAGAGAGTATAGCAGATGCATTCAATGATTTTTTATTGATGTTGGGGAATCTTATGCTAAAAATCAAAATACATTTTTTTTACATCCTGTAAATAACAAAGAGGTATTAGATATTATACATAAATACATTAAAAAGTAAAAAGTCGCCCGGTTTGGATAAAATAAAAACTGAAATATTTAAAGAAACATCTGAAATAATTTCTATGTCCATAGTTCATATCATAAACAGTATATTTATAACAAACAGAATACCTCATGAATTTAAAATAGCCGTTGTTACACCCATACATAAAAAAGAAGACATAAAAAATATAAATAATTATAGGCCTATATCAGTTATATGTACGTTAGGAAAAATATTTGAAAATTTCTAAAAAACAGGATATTTAATTTTTTAAATGCTAACAATATACTATCATAAAAACAGTTCAGATTTAGAGAAGGCTTATCGACAAATGATGCAATAGGGAAACTCGTGGAAAAGATTACAAAATGTTTGGAAAAAAGTAAACCTGTGATCTGCGTATTTCTGGATCTCGCCAAGGCATTTGACACTGTGAGTCATACGCAAATGTTGGAAGTCTTAGGGGATGCAAAAATAAGAGGAACAGCAAATGATCTATTTGCTGATTATTATTAGCAATGAAAAAATAATAACTATGGGTTGCCTCAAGGGACAGTATTGGGAACCATTTTATTTACAATGTATATAAATAATATACTTACAGAAAACACAGCTGGACAACTTCTTAGTTTCGCAGATGATACTACTATTTTATACAGTGCTGATAAGTGGGGCGAATTGAAAAATAAAGCTGAAAAAGATCTGGCAAAAATTCTAGATCTGTTTCGACACAAATTATTGACAGTAAACGTTTTTTATGCCTTTTTCGAATGATACAAGATGTTTGCCAGATTTCCAAACTCTAACCATAAGACAAGATATAATAATAGAATGCAAAACTATAGTTATAAATATTTAGGAGTTACTTTAGACAGACATTTAAAATGGGATGCGCACATTAATAATATAACGAAAACACTAACAACTTTTATATCGTTTTAAACATTTAAAAAATATATTAGACCAATAATTCTTGAAAATAATTTATTATTCTCTTGTTGAATATGGTTTACGTTATGCTATATTGAGTTGGGGAGGTGCTGCTAATTGTCATTTAAAAAACTGATATAATACAAAAACGAATTATAAAAATATAATTCAATAAACCATCTACTTATCCATCACATTTGTTATTTTTTGAATCTGGTCTATTTGATATTAGACAATTATTTATGAATCAAATTATATTATTTACTTACAAAAATAGAACACTATTGGAAAAAGTTAATCATGTTCATGACACCAGGTACAAAGGTACAGATAATGCAATCATAGAATTACTACAAAAAATGTTAGTTTTTGTTCTTATAGTTACTTATCACGTAAGATTTATAACTATCTTCCAGAAATATATAAAACCTATCTCTTTAAAATAAATTCAGAAAATTTCATTAAAAATATATTTAAAAAATATATAATTCTACTAGGAAGAGATGTAACTAGCAACCTAATAAACAATACCTAAAAACTAAGTTTAAATTAGTTAATTAAGAAATGATTTCTCCTTCCTCTGTTTACCAAAAAACAGATATAGATAACATACTTATATTATATACTTGCCTCGTGTTCTGTGTAGGCTTCGTTACTGTTTCCCAGCGCCACTTTAGGAACAGCACTGTTAATTAGAACCCAACAGTGAATGGTCGAGTGGGGAATCCTACCAAGGCATCAGAATTAATTTTAAATAATTAAATTAAATGAAAAAATTCCGGCCAATGGTGCGAATCGAACCCGGGACCCTTGGATCCACAGGCAGAGGCTCTACCAATTATTATTGTTATTATTATTATTATTATTATTATTATAAATACGGACCTTAGTGAACTTGAAATGTTTAACTGGGTAATATAATAGTTGTTTACATTTTTTGAAGAACAAATAAATATAAAGGCAATTATTATTCAAAACGAAAATATAAGGATATATCCTTCATTTTTCAGTTTGTTATATTTTTTGTTAACCCTTAATTACGGTATTTTCAGGAAAATTTACGAAATTATGAAGCTATCTATAGCCTCACAAAATTTAAAAAAAGAATGGGATTACAGTTAAAATATTGTAAAAAGTGAGAAAAGTTAATATCAAGTTTAATAAACTATAGGAATATGCGAAAGAGCAGCAGAGCACATATGGAATTTTGAGTTGACACTTATGCCATATTTTATAGGCTATTTTAAGGCTATTTTTATACTCTTCAAAAATGTTATGCTCCTCGTTTTTTGCAAAAATGAAGGTGCTTTGTTAGCTTTGAACGATCTCATCAGAGCACCTCAATTTTTTTTTTAATTTTTAGACTATTTTTAGGCTCTTAAAATATAAAATTTAAAAAAAAATTGTATTTTTTAAAAAATAGCTTCGAACGAATCCAGCAGAGGCCCGGGTTCTTAAAAACTTTTTCTAAAAACAACCACACCACATTTTTAGGCTCTTGAAATATTATAAAACTTTTCTAAAAAAAAATAGTTATTTTTTACTGTTACAGGGTGCTTTGTTGGAACAAAGTCAGCAAAGCATCTCGGTTTATTAATTTTTTTCTGAAACAACTACTTATGCCATATTTTTACGCTATTTTTAGGCGCTCTTTAAATAATACAGGGTGCTTCATTGGAACAAAGTCAACAGAGCACCTTGGCTTTTTAAATTTTTTTCTAAAAACATCCACACCACATTTTTAGGCTCTTGAAATATCATAACACATTTTTAAAAAATGTCCAGTTTTGATTATTACAGGGTGCTTTGTTGGAACAAAATCAGTACAGCACATCAGTTCATTAATTTTTTTCTGAAACAATTACTTATGCCACATTTTTAAGCTATTTTTTGGCTCTTGAAATATTATAAAAAAATAGTAAAATTAGTTTTTTGAAAAAAGGTTTAAAAAACCGAGGTGCTATGCTGGATTCGTTCGAAGCTAGCAAAGCATAATGTATTTTTTTTTTTTTTTTTCGAAAAGTTTTATATTTCAAGATCTTAAAAATAGCTTTAAACTGGGAAGTAGTTGTTTCAGGAAACAAAAATAATAAACCGAGATACTCTGCTGACTTTGTTCCAACAAAGCACCATGTATTATTTAAAAATAGGAATTTTTAGTAAAGTTATATAATACTTCAAGAGCCTAAAAATAGCCTAAAAATGTGGTGTGGTTGTTTTTAGAAACAAGCTTTTAAAAACCAAGAGGTGCTCTGCTGGCTTCTTTCCAAGCTAGCAAAGCACCCTGTATTTTTTAAAAATAACAAATTATTAGCAAATTTTTATAATATTTTAAGAGCCTAAAAATGTGGTGTGGTTGCATTTAGAAAAAAGCTTTAGAAAACTGAGGTGCTCTGCTGAATTAATTCGAAGCTAGCAAAGCACCCTGTATTTATTTTTAAATCGTAATTTTTTTTTGGAAAATTTTATATTTCAAGGGCCTAAAAATAGCTTAAAAATGTGGAATAAATAGTTGTTTTAGAAAAAAAAAACAATAACCCGAGGCACTTTGCTCTCTTTTTTCCAACAAAGAACCCTGTATTATTTAAAAATAGCAATTTTTATAATATATGTTATAATCGAGGGGCAATCACTCCCGCAGTACATGTACAAAATGTTCGAAATCCCATTGAAAATCGCCGCAGTCCCATCAAAATCAGTGGCAATCGCTAAATCTTCAGAATTCCCTCGCACTCTCCCGCAGTCGCTGTGCAATCACTAGCAATCATTAAAAATCACGCGCAGTTAGTTGACATCTTACCTATTTACCATTGTCGAAGTAGGTGCTTTGACTAGGCCATCTAAGCCATCTTGTGTAAAATTAAACAAATTGCAATTTACGTTTATCGAAAGTGTCATTCCATCAATTATTATTAATTTTTAATAGGGCATAAAAATAGCCTAAAAATATGACATAGGTTTTAAGTCAAAATTACGTAGGTGCTCTGCTACCTTCTTTTGTATTATAGGAATAAAAAATTGCCACCTCTCTGGATATTAGAATGAAGCCCATTAACCTATAAAATTGCAAATTTTTATTCAATTTTGCTCGAATAATCTACAGTTATAGTTAATATTATCTATCCCCTTTCATACATGATACGCCCCTGGTAAATAACATTGCTTTCATATTTTTCATCTTGAAACACCCCAATAATGAACAATTCCAGAATACCTACGTATTGAAATAAATTATTGTTAACAATCAACATTTTATTATAGCAATGTATAATTAATTAATTAATTATGGACCACAAACATTTATTTTATGATTTACAGGTAATATTATTGGTATCTAATATAATTCGATAGGCGGATGTGTGTTTAAATTAGAAATCAATAGTGAAAAATAATTAGCGGGAAATACATAACCTCAAACTACTTACCCGATTTTTATTTGATATCGATAAACTTAATTAACTAAAGAAGTTTGGTACATTTATTGAACACTAATTAAATTCATTTTGATCTGATTTATTTACCAACAAAACACTGCGGTGTACTCAATTTTAGAAATAAAAGGTAAATTACAACATAAACACAAAATACACAAACTACAAACACAGGACAGACAACAGCTGATTAAACTCCTAAACTGGCAACTGGCAATGCGCTATGCAATGTTGTCGGATTTAAATAAAACCTACGTTATAAGATAAAATATACATTTAAATCAATGTTATAAAACATATAAAAAGTTCGTTACTTAAACAATTTGATCTGATAATTGTTCTAATATAAAAAGTAACATTTAGTTAACGATATTAATAATCAGATTTACCTAGTTATTAATAGAATTTATAAATAATAAAACACTAATGAAATATTTAAAGTAATATGAAAATCTGTCAACTCTGTATAATATAGCAAACTGCTTCGACATTAGTACTATTAAGTCTAGTACGCGGTAGATGGCGCAACGTCAGTGTATAGGGTACTTTTAAAATGGGTACTTACGTTTGTGATAACTTCAGTAGGTGGCACGGAAGTTAAGATATTGAAAATACCTGTTGAATAACCTACCATACACACGCTACACTGATCACGCAGATCTAACTTATGTACCTTTTGTTTATGTTTATTTGAATAGAATATAATTTTATTATTTTCAAATATAACTAATAAAAAGTCAATTTTTAGATCTTGTTTTATTTCCTGTTGAATAACAGTAAAATACAGGCCCGGTTTGAAAAACTTTTGTTCATATTTGAGTTTTCCTTAAAAAATCTGATAGTATACCTAGGTATTCTACCTAGGTATACTTCCTTATTATAATTTTCGTACTGAATTCATATCTTATGGTAGGTATACCTACAAAATCTAAAATTAGAAACAAATATTTTGTCGATAAATATTTTTACTATTATTCGAATGCCTGGGTATAGGTACAGAAATATTAAAATGTTAATGAACGTTTAATAATTTATATGTAAATAGGTAGGTATAATAACAATAAATTTATTTATTTCATAAAATATAGCATGCTAATTTCCCAATAAAATATCTGGTTTTCAAAAAATAAGGTACAAAATAGGTTCACAAATCGCCTAGTGAGAACATTATTAGTGACCTAACTCCGAATATGTTGATCTAAGATAAACGCGGTTAAAGTTTGTACGAAAATTATAATTTGTTTTTTGGCTATACGTTTGGAGCTATCTTATCGATTTTTTCTGTCTAAATTTTAAATATCTTTAAGTTATAATGTAACAAATTTTTTTTTAAGTAAATGAATATTAATAATGTTACATTCGTCAGTATTGCCTTCGAAGGTGAAAATAAAAATACCAAGCATTACTGACAACTACAGCGACCGAGCGGACACTAGTAGAACTACAATTTCGCCAGTTATGTACCAGTTGCGGGCTACATTAAGCAATTCTTTGAAGTACACAAGTCAAAAACGTGTATTTTTGAGATACGTCACTGATGTTCTCACTAAACGAAATGTCTGTCATACACAATTTTACTACGACTTCTTAAAATTTGTAATCACCAGCCGAAAATTATATAAGCTAACGGCTACAATATTATTATATTTTTATTTCTTTATATTTTTTTATTACCAATGACTTGGTACAGATAATTCTTGATTACTGCAAAAAATAATGTATTTCCCACCAAACATAGAAACTTACAAACACTTCCTGCAAGTTTATTTTCGACTTGTATGGAAAATTTATTATAAATTTACAAATTTTTATGTATAACCGGAAGTTTTCAGGAAAAAAATTCATATTTATAAACTTGAAGAAATCTTACCCAAACAGCACAGTAGGTACGTCTTAAGTACAGTACGTACAGGACGTAAAGTGTACGTTTTAAGTACGTACACAATAGTACGTACCGGTACGTATAGAAAAATACGTACCAGGTACGTACATAAGTGTACGTAATCCTGGTTGCATACCTATTTTATTGAAAAATCGATGTTTGTACAAAATTCCTGTTGAGCGTAGGCCGAAAAATACAAAGAAGAAACACATAATTTATTTAACTTAACCTAAATTCTAAACTAATTACTAAACTTGCTCGTTTTTTAAGTTTTGCAAGCAACCACGTTTCAACGGTTTCAACAGTTTGTTTTTTGTTAGTTTTTCATTTTCAAGGATTTAACTATTAAGTGTTTCTTTAAATCAGTATTTCCCAAAGCGGGCCAGGTGGACCCCCAGGGGTTCACGGGAGACTCGACGGGAGTCTACGTTGGGCGTAATAAAAAATGGGGGTCCACAATCGTAAGCGGGAGTGCATGAAAATTAATTTGGTTTCGATAGAGAAGCAATATACTATTAAACAATTGCTTACTCATTTTTCCATGTGATGAAGAAATTCTTGTAAAAAACTTCAACTGTTTATAATATAAACAGTCAACATTTTAGTTACTAAAATGTTGACTTGACTTCTCTTATCAATATAGGCAGATAATATTTTAAGAAGCTCAGCGACTGTTACTTGTAAAAACTTGCATATTACATATTCAGTACAACGCGTCGAGACTTGTCGTTGCCGTGCAAATTAATACGACTTGTGGTGTATGTGCTTGCAATATTGCATGAACGCGTTTGATTCTTCACTAATATAAATACGAATGTCAAGGATAATCGTTACTCATTTGTTTCTGGAGTTTCATAAGTTCATAAGTGAATCGGTATTAGTGTTGACCAGTGACTAAGTTTGTTTCCAGACTTTCGAAAAGAAAAGTAAAGTGAATCGATATTAGTGTTGGCCAGTGACTGAATTTGTTTCCAGACTTTCGAAAAGAAAAGTAAAGTGAATCGATATTAGTGATTGCCAGTGTCGGAAAAGTAAGTACCTACCTGCCTATTTGTTATATGCATATAGTTTTAAGCCGAGAAAGATTGAACTTATCGTCCCTACTCCCTACTTTATTTTTATTACCTATCTAATTCATTTAATTATTGCGGAGTTTTGATATACAAATATTGTTTAAAAGTTTCTATAAAATTCACAGAAATATATTAAAATATAATAAATGAAATAATAATTTTATATTACATTAAAATAAGTTCAGCCGTTTTAATAAAACTCTATTATGGATCTTAGCGATGTATTGCTTTTAATAATTAGAAACAGTTTGCAGGCGGAACTTTGTTTATTTCATAATATTTACATTAATTGATTAATCATATTATGTTAAAATAGCCATATCATGTTAAGTTCGAGTCGCCTTAGGATTACTAAATCAAAGTTTTTTTTATTTATTTACTTACACATTTACAGGTAGGTAATTGATACAAAACATGGCGAATCTAAGAAGAAGTGTCGTCAGTACAGTGTTGAATATTTAAAATTTGGTTTTCTTCCATCAAAGGCAGACAAACGATTGCCCACATGCCTTTTATACAACAAAGTTTTAAGCAATGACTCTATGAAACTATCAAAGCTGGAAGATTATCTAAGAAGGTGGCATCCTGATAAAATAGGTAATGATTTAAAATATTTCCAAACATTAAAGGAAAAATATAAAAAGAGACGGTATGTTCTCTTCAACGTCGGAAAGCAACGATGATGGCTTGCGGGCATCTTACAATATCTCATTACTTATCGCAAAATCTGGAAAACCGCACACCATTGGAGAACAGTTAATTTTACCTGCTATTGAAGAGGTTTTAAAAACTGTTCTGCACAAATCTTCATTTGACATACTCAAAAGAATTCCTTTGAGTAGCAACACTGTACAAAGACGTATTGATGAAATGAGCTCTGATGTTGAAAATCTCTTGTGTAATCTACGAAAAACTCATTTTTCTATTCAACTAGACGAGTCAACTTTACCTGGCAATGAAGCATTATTATTGGCATAGGTTCGATTTATTATGGGCGAAGAAATTCATGAAGAGCTACTATTCGCAAAAACTTTGAAGACGGACACTAAAAGTGAATCAATATTTAATGTTTTGAGTGATTATTTTTAAGAAAAATCGATTCCATTCACAAACGTTTTTTCGGTGGCAACAGATGGAGCTCCTGCCATGGTCGGGCGATATCGTGGGTTTATAAGCCATCTTAAAAGAATTATACCAGGGGTAATTGCGTTTCACTGTATTATCCACCGACAACATCTAGTAGCGAAATATTGGTCTGCGCGAATTTTCACAGTTTTCAAATTTGTCGCAGGTAGAATGCCTTGATGAAGATATTCAGATATACGTTCAACATTTGATTGCCCTGCATCAGAGTTGGGTAGTATCCGGATACTTCTGTATCCGGATACAGTATCCGGATACTTTATGTGTATCCGAAAGCTGTATCCAGATACTTTTCAAAATTTGTATCCGGTATCCGTATCCGTGACCAAATTTGTAAGTATCCGGATACCGGATACTTTTTTCGGCATTCGGATACTTTTAAATTATTTACCACAATCGTAACTGATCCAATCCATATTATCTCTATTAAAATATATAATCGAAATACTTTGAGCTACCCCTCCCTATATAATTAGAAATAAAATACGTATTTTTCAATATTACAATATTTAAGACACAAAATTACAATTATTGTGTTTTAGAATTTCGCATAAAATGTGTAAACAAAATACATTTATATCGCTTGAGAAATAAAAATCAAGTAAAGAATAGGAGAATAGATTCCTCTTAATAGAAAAAGAGTAGAAATTTGAAATTTAAAGATAGTTAAGGTAATTTCAGTATCTATTTTGTTTAAAATTCATATTTTTAAAAAACGGTATAATTAAAAAAAAATGTCTCGGAAAATCAGCTAAAATAAAAGAGAATATAGAATTTCGTGTAAAATGTCTCTCTAAAATTTCATTTAAATCGCTTGACAAATAAATATAAATAAAATTAGCGGGGTATTACTTCCATTTAATAAAAATATTAAGAGTAAAATGATATAATAATAGCTGAATGATTGTATGTGTTATAATGTACTCATACATGTATGACGTTGTTGCTCATAGTGTTACTTATGTCGTCATCAACATCAATAAAGTATGCAGATCTGACAATATCAAACTTACTTTCAAAATTCTTTATTTACATTATGTACAATTTTACAATAAATAATATACAAATACATATAAAATA